TTAAGGGAAGGCTGAAAGACACTGAAGTTGATGAATGGTAAGCAAATTTTTTCCTCTGCTATACCTTTGATGGATTTCCAGAGTTTTTTCTACTCCACTGGAGAAGCCTGGCCCTGGGCCAGGCTTCTCCAGTGCATCCCTGGTCAACCAATCTGTTGCTGCTAGTGGCGCAATGATCAATAAGTCCTTCACAGCATGGTTGATCAGGCAGGCAGAGAAATTTAAAGATAATCTTTAGAGACGGTGGTGATGAGTGTTTAAAGACTGATTATAAAAAGAGAATATTCAAGGACAAGCTAGGAAGATTCTCTTTAAGAATGTGAGGACGGAAAGAAACCTTAAACATATTAAAGAGAAAATAGAAGGTAAGAAAACGACTCAACATGTGCAATAAACTGGCCAAAATTAAAGCGAAAAAGGTAACAGCAGAGAGCAAGACGAAGAGTCTGGATTGAAAGGCCATAAAAATCCCTGGGTGATGGATCAGGTGTGGATAAGCTTGGCGGGAGGCACGATGGACCCAACATTTTTCTGGATGCCTCTTTCCTCCGAGGTGATAACGAGAGATATCTCACGGTTATGTCTGAAAACTTGTGTTAGCTCTTCGCAACACAGCTACCAGCACTAGGGTTCCTTGATGCATGTCAAAGATTCTTCTAAACCATTGATGCTGCTTTCTCTATCCTTTCTCAAACCTAATTACCTACAATTTCCCCTTGGAACACACCTAACTGCCTATAAGTTCCCCTTGGAACAAACTAATTTACCTACAATTTTCCCTTGGAACAAACCTAATTTACCTACAGTTTTCCCTTGGAACAAACCTAATTACCTACAGTTTTCCAGGAAACTCGAGATAACTATTTCCTGATACAAAAAAATAGGGTAATTATTTCAGTACAACTGTTGATAATTGGTGACAACGTAACAATTCCTGTTACCTCAAATTAACTGTTGTAGTCCAGTAAAATTGGTAATAAATTGTGGTACTGCGTTAGTGTTCAGGTAACATTTATTACCAATTCAGCTTAAATCGTGAGAAATGATGGCAACTGAAAAACGTTGTTAATGTTATGGTTAAGGCCTACCTACCTGGAAGGTTTTCCGGGGGTTAACACCCTCGCGGCCCAGTCCTTGACCAGGCCTCCCGGTGGATTAGGGCCTGATCAACTAGGCTGTTACTGCTGGCTGCACACAGTCCAACGTATACGAACCACAGCACGGCTGATCGGGCACTGACTTTAGGTATCTGTCCAGCTCTCTCTTGAAAGCAGCCTGGGATCTGTTAGTAATTTCCCCCTTATGCATGGTGGGAGGCTGTTGAACAGTCTTGGGCCCCGGACACTTATTGTGTTTAATCTTAGAGTACCAATGGCGCCCCTACTTTTCATTGGGGGTATAACTAGCGATAACTAGTGTTCCCTGGGTGTGAGTGATGATGTCTCAGGATAATACATCACTCGTGGTACCAATGTTATATTATAACTGCTGACGAGACTCAGCATTCGTGACACTTTTTGATGTTTCCCACAAGTGTACAATTAGTAATTTTCTCTAAAATACTCTCTTAAAGCATTATTTTATTAGCTTGCAAATGAGACCAAAATAGCCATCTTAAGTTTACAATGGAGTAAAATTAAATATTGCAGACATTTTCGACCAGCCCTATGGATTTCAAATCGGGTTTACTCTATGTATTCATGTCCACTACTTTAACACTGTTAATTATGTGGTTTGATTTTGTTTAGTTTGGTAATGTTTTGTTAGGTTAACATTGGTTTGGTATGATCTGGTTTCATTTGATTATGTTACGATGGGTTTGGTTAAAGAAGAAAAAGATTGTCAGTTATGTAATGTAGTTCCATCTTTCCCACAGTGATATATTGTAGGGTGTGAGCGAGTACTACTGCACCACTCTTTCACTAGTTCTTCATAAAGGCTTACCGTAAGGGACTAGTCTCGATGTCTCACTGACTTACAGTAATGCTGATATGCTGGGGGAGTTGTAGAAAGACTGACATCTGATTTATATTCTGTTGAAGGCCTCATCAAGCAGAAAACTAGTTGGCAAAAGAGCTGCTGACGGAATTTTCGAAAGGACAGGTTGCAATATTTTCTGCCTTCGAGTTCAAGCCAAGAAACAACACCAACAAGAATGCCAGGTTCAGCAGGGATGCCAGGAGCTGTAGTTACCAAGTTACGCTCGATCTGCAACAAAAAGTTACCTGGAATCGACCCCTCCATGAATTCCGGGTCAGTCTTATTGATGAAGTGAAGTACAAGGCATTGATAATAATGATTTTGTTTTCTAAAATCTTGCAACCGTTGATCTTGTGGCAGACGAGCTTAAATACCACACAAGCTGTTTTGTGGTGTCCCGGGCGATACGATGCTATGGTGAAGGAAAACAGAATAATTCAAGACACTGCCCAACACCGTGCTTTTAAAGTACTGGCTACGACTGATGAAAGCATTTCAGCTAGAAGAACCTACTTATCTTGGAAAGACCTCTACATATATATCTCCAGTGCTGATGAAAAGACAGTAAACCACTGGGGACCAGGCCAAGACACGGATGAAGACTTTTACCAAGAGAAAACAGCTACACGACTCGTGCTACACATCGTTCATGCCCTGAGGACAGGCCAGTCAAACAGTTTGGTAAGGCTCTCTGGCTCTTACCGTTCTTACCTATCATTTTCTTCTCTTTGAAGCTACGTCTGTTACCACCTGTGAGATTTCTATCAATGCATTATGAATATCAGGGACATTGCCAAAACTTTAGATAGAAAACTGGTTGCAATTCAGTTTTTGGCTAGAGAAGCCGTTCAAAACACCTTCGTTTCTAAGCCTGGCAAAAGTGCTATACGTTTCTTCCAGCCCTTTAACGAACTGAAGATTAAAGTTAGCTCTTCTATTCCCTGAGCAATTCGTTATTCAAGTCTATGGAGGAGGAAGTACAAGTTCGGTGAACCACCTCAGGAAGTAGTTGTTCTGCCAGCGAAATCAGAATATAGAAATTCCACCGACTCGGAAAGCTCTGTATCACCACTGTAAAAGAACTCTACCAGGCCAACATCTGAGTATTTGCCCATGATCCACTAATTCGGGAACCAGACCACTGCCCTCATGGTTGGAAAACAGTTGAAGGAAAGCTTGTTTCCCAGTGGATTACCATCTCACAAGTTGCAGCGACGTGCCAGAAGCTGGTAAAATGTGTTGTCGAAAACCACGTAATCAATCTTGCAACTGTAACAAGGGGCTACTTTGCACAGCCCTCTGTAAATGTCTGTGCAAAACTAACTTTCAGTAGTGCGCTATTATGACTGCATTTCCTACAATTATAACTACTTCAGTTGCTACTTAAATTATGATTGCTTCTTTCTTACGCTTCTGTACGTTATTTAAAGATGGTCATTTTGGTCTCAATTGAAAATTAATAAAATTAATAAATTAATTTTATTAATTTATTAATAAAATTAATAAATTAATAAAATTAATAAAATGATTGTTTTGAAGCATTATTTGATATATATGCTTGTATGCCTACATTTGGGATGGAAATATATTTTTTACGAGAATACTAAAATAAAAGTAGGTATTTCGTTCTTTGGGTACATTAAAAGTAACGGTGAAACCTGATTCCTTGTTTCTAACTTAAAACATATAAAATGATGAATCATTTGTCTACCTTATTTGGCAGGTATATATGGCAAAACAAGCATGTAATTTTCATAGTCTTATGGGGTATCAGAGGAGGCTTCCCCTGGAGACATTAAGCAAAATTTGTTTTGCTTCCCTTCGGAACCAATTATTGATGAGCCAAGAAATCTTGAAAATAACTTAGGCAAACTTAACACGCGTCTGAATCACGACATAGGCGAGCCACGCCCACTTTCTGATAATATAATCGTTAACATTTATGCATATTTTTTTTTCATTTCCCACGTCATAATGAACCCCAGTGAAGTACTGATGAGAGTGAGTCGTGAAATATAATTGCAATTAGCCTCACATTCACTTCATTGATTGTTACACTATATGTTCCTCAATAATATCTGATTAAATCGAATTATCTTTTAATATTCGTCCTCAGTGCGTATAGCGTGTTCGGATACAATGGATGAAGACTGTTTCCAAAATACCACTCAAGGGTTACCTCCAATAAAATATGATCGGTAAATGGATTATCATATTTTACTATGAAGATTTCTTTTGTTCCAGTAAATACCAAGTCTAATACTGAGGATGTATTGCCTTCTCTTACTCGTCATGCTTCATTTATATGCTAATGCATAGAAAACCATAATTGGATTTCATTATCTGAAGTTTCAGTCTCATAAATTGCCCAGTTTATTCCTCACCAATCATTATCTTATTATATTACCTACCATCAGTTTCTCATCTTTATTTTGGATTATATTTCATTAAAAAATTTCATTTTTCTGTTTAGTTTTCGATTTCCTTAGCTTGCATAGTTTCTTTTACAAATATTGCCGCTCCCCACCTTCCTTCCCTTTATTGTGTGAGATTGTTTTTTCCTACCCTCAGAGCCCGGCCTGGGCCAGGCTTTTCTGTTGATTGCTTGTACAAGCAGACTGTTTCTGCTGTTAACGTTACTTACTCAACGATTTTTAATTTCATTACAATTAATTCCAATATAAACTAACATAGTCCTGGTAAAATAGGAAAACACTGATTTAATTCCATTATAAAACTAACAGTGTCTTAGGAAAATAGAATAACACTGATTTATTCTCACTAAATGCCAACCTTGTCTTAGGAGGATGCACCAGAATCTTTGATACCCTTGATGATTTCTGAGAATTTTTCTACTCTCAGAGCCCGGCTTTAGGCCAGGCTCGTCTGGTAGCAGCAACGGCCTGGTCAACCAGGCTGTTGCTGCTACTTTAATTCTAATAGAAGAGAAACAATGTATTGGGAAGATAAATAAAAACAGCGAGTGCTTCTGTGCATGGGTCTCCCTAGATGTGTCTCACCTTGATCCACCGGTGGTTGAGCGCTTCTTTGACTGTGATCCGCTCGTTCGGGTCGAAGGTGAGCATCCGACGGACGAGGTCTTTGGCATGGTCGCTGATACACTCCCAGGTGGGCGTAGTGAGCTGTGGGCGAAGGAAGGCAACGTGAAGCACCTTGGTCACTAGCTTGACAACCCACTGATCAGATATTGGTATGTGTAATAGGTTGTGGAGAGAGGGAGAGAGAGAGAGAGAGGAGAGAGAGAGAGAGAAAGAGAGAGAGAGAGAGAGAGAGAGAGAGAGAGAGAGAGAGAGAGAGAGAGAGAGAGAGAGAGAGAGAGAGAGAGAGAGAGAGAGAGAGAGACTAATCAAATAAAACCTCTGGGAAAAAAAAGGCATCCAAGATGAAATTAAAACAGTAGAAATAAAAATTTGTAAGTCCACACACTCCAATTAGAGACTAATTTACCTTAACCATCATCACAATAGTTACTCTGCTCGTTCAGTGTGCACACAGTATAACAGAATAATAATCTTCCGAGTTCTGAGACAAGCCTCGTCTTTCTTTAATTCTTAGCAGACACTTCCGTTTAATTTTGTGAAAATTATTCCATACACACCTTAGGCAAACCAAACACATCAAACAAACGAAACACACACACACAAAAAAAATATACGCACAAAAGTATCTGGCACAGATTATCTAGGTCCAATTACATGATACAAGTCCTTCCTGTCTATTGCTGTAACACTTCACCACCACGAAAGTATCAGTCAAGGTAAATGTTTGTACAAGGGAGTGGCGCGCACACTGACGCGCCTGGGATCATACTGATGGCCAAGACAAGACATTATATCTCAGGCGCAATCTGAGGAGCCAGGGAAGAAATCAACGACCAAGAAACTCTAACAGACCAATGGATAATGTCAGAGACCAGAGAACAATGAAGGGCAAAGGAACAACGTGAGAGACCTCAAAATAATAAAGGATTAAGGTACAAAGTGAGAGATCTCAGAACAATAAAGAGCCCAGGACAAGTGTACTGTAAGGAGCTTCAGAACGCTAAAGGGGCAAGCAGCACTGTGAGGGACCTGGGAACACAGTGTAGGTATACTTATCAATGTAAGGGACCTGGGAACATAGTGCAGGTTTACTTATCAATGTAAGGGACCTGGGAACAGTGCAGGTACAATTATCAATGCGAGGGATCTGGGAACACAGTGCAGCTACAACTAGCAATGTGAGGGACCTAGAAACACAATGTAGGTACAACTATCAGTGAGGAGCCTGAAAACACAATGAAGAGGCAAGGAACATTGTATGGAGATTGGCAGCACCATGAAGGAACAAGTATTCATGTTAGGAGCTGGTGATAAGGGGCCTGTGAGAGGAATATAGTAATATTAAATACATAGAGATAAGATACTGTATTGACGACTTTTTGACCCATGCAGTGGAATTTATAGCCATAAAAAGATCTGTGACTTCACAAAGCCACTTCTTGGTTTTATACAGCTTTATGTGTCCCTCTCCTCTGATGTATGATCAATGACACACACGGACACTACATTCATATATCAACATCACACCTTTCTTCCAGAATCCTAACCACTTTTTTCTCACACTTGACAACCTTCTGATCCAAGAAATTAGAGCGTTGCTCTGAGTAAACTCAATAACCTCCCAATTTTCTAGGATCTTAATGACCAATATAGGCTTAGCACCTTCCTAGAATTACAACGTGTCAATTTTTTGATCAGCTCATTTCTTTATAACAACACTTTCTTAATCCCATCAGTTTCGGGCCTCCCATTTAGCTTTCCTTTAGCTATTATCTTCATAATAATCTCTATTAATTCTCTCACTATAATTATGACGATATGTTTGTGTGTGTGTGATATATTATCTGGCGTCAATAAAGCGAGACTGTGAGAAGCCTTAATAATTATAGGTTGTCAGGTACAAGAGTGGGTGTGGTTCGGGGGGGGGGGGAGTAGGACCTGCGAGTATGGGCCATTATAGATCTGGTGCATTGCAACAGAACTTACGGGAGCAGAATACTGCTTGCTGAGTCCTGTCGTTAGTACTTTAATTAGTTTGTCGTATACTCTTAAAGTTTCTTGCTGTTTGTTCAACACACCACCTGTTGGATCTCTTTGCAACTATCATTATATATGTAAATATGACACAATGTGAGTTATGGCATGTTAATATGAAAACGTTTCGTCCACCAGGGACGAAACGTCTTCAGGATAAAATGCCATAACCCGCATTCTCTCACTGAGGCACTGTTGGTATGTTATATATACCATTGTATTATCTTCCACTTTATCCGTGAAGAAATATTTTATAGTCTCCTATCGACACCCCTTTTATTGTAGTTTTTAGCTGTTCTTTCCTCCCTGATGATTGTACCAAGATGTCTATACCTTCACTATTTTATCATTATTTTATGATCTTACATTAAAGTCGTGGCTATTTTCCTCCTCTCTGCCAACAAGGTAATTTCAAGTACCTTCAGTTTTCCTAGTTCATATTTCTCAATATATATATATATATATCACCAACTATGTATCTTGTGTTATAGACTGTCAGTACATCATAGGGTTCTCACTGTTATAATGTCATGCTCTTTATACTGTGATATTTTAAGGTTATATTACAATATAGTGCCGTTGGGTGCCTTTATTTTCCTCTTCTTTTATTTAGATTGCAAGTTATCTAAATTCTCTTTTATCATTCATTCATTCTTCTTCCAGGGTTTAACAGTCATTCAGATTTTCTTCCTTACATTTGATTTTCCATCACCAAATATATTAAACCTTTTTAATATTACTGACAATTTATATAATCTAACACATTATCGGGTCAAAGACTAACTTTTGTGTAACACAATTAACATAATTCCATTATAAATCCTCTTACCAATGTACATTTTTAAAAAAAAAAAATTTAATCTACTGTAACAATTTGCTTATCTTGCCGAAATGCTGTGGTTTTCATATCAACATTACATAGAGAAGACTGTTCAATATTTTTTTGAAATCGAAGTAAATGCAGTCTACTGAGTACATTACGTAAAATGATTTAACAACTTGTAGGAACAAGAACAGTTACTTGAGCTACACTGACTTTATCACCGAGCATCCCTCAGGATGCGACCCCAAATATGTGACTAACAACTAGGTGTCTAAATGGAATATTGGCAGGAGGTGTACAGACCGGACCATATATCTGGTCTAAGCTCAGTATTCGAACCCTGGACTTCCCAAGTGAGCGTCGACTATTTGTACCATTAGCGACAGGTGAGTAGTCAGCACAGGCTTATATGTATACGAGTCAGTTAATGCTAAGCGAAACATATAATACCGTGTGGCTTCGAAAGGGACATAGGTACGATAAGAGTTATCAGTGAATCGAGATGAATTCTGTAAAAAAAAAATAGTAAATCAAGAATTTATTTGTTTTAGCTGTGCGATACTTACGTGCAATTTAGCCTGACATATAGAATCATAAAGGCGATCTTTGGTGCCGTAGAAGGGCAGAGTTCCAGAGAGCAATATGTGTAGGAGGACGCCAGCAGACCAAACGTCCACAGGCTTACCATAAGGTTGTCGCTCCACTACCTCCGGACTCATGAAGTGAGGCGTCCCTATCCGACCTGTCATAGAAAATGAAGAGAATCATAGAAAGTGGGAACAAGGATGACTCAAGAACAATTCTCAGGGTGTTGAGCAGGATCAATACACATTACATGGGTATATGTGTGTGTGTGTGTATATATATATATATATATATATATATATATTATATATATATATATTTATATATTTATATATATATAAATAATTGGCTAATAAGCCGAATGGACAATTAGACCGAACTACCCTAAAAATGTAACTCTCTCGAAATATTCTTTTATGGATTAAAATATATTTTTCTTTGGGAACGGAGTAAAGAATTATATTATCGCACCAACTCTAGCATAAAGACCTCACCTAACTTTGCTACAATGAACGTAATTTATTTTACTCTCACACTACTAAACATATCATGCACCACTTTAAATTTATTCAATATTAATTAATATCAATCATGCATTTTTTATGTTCAGACGATTTATTGTCAAAACAAATGTACTCTCTACTTATTCGGCAAAACTGGCACTTACATTTTTAAATAAAGCTCGCGGATACGGCACGATGTGTGTGTGTGTGTGTGTGTGTGTGTGTGTGTGTGTGTGTGTGTGTGTGTGTGTGTGTGTGTGTGTGTGTGTGTGTGTGTGTACTCACCTAGCTGAGTTTGCAGGGGTCGAGTCCTAGCTCCTGGCCCCGCCTCTTCACTGGTCGCTACTAGGTCAATCTCCCTGAACCATGAGCTTTATCATTCCTCTGCTTAAAGCTATGCATGGATCCTGCCTCCACTACATCGTTTCCCAAACTATTCCACTTCCTGACTACTTTGTGGCTGAAGAAATACTTCCTAACATCCCTGTGATTCATCTGTGTCTTCAACTTCCAACGGTGTCCCCTTGTTGCTGTGTCCTATCTCTGGAACATCCTGTCTTTGTCCACCTTGTCAATTCCTCTCAGTATTTTCTATGTCGTAATCATGTCCCCCCTATCTCTCCTGTCCTCCAGTGTCTTCAGGTCGATTTCCCTTATCCTCTCCTCGCAGGACATACCCCTTAGCTCTGGGACCAAGTCTTGTTGCAAACGTTTGCACTTTCTCTAGTTTCTTTACGTGCTTGGCTAGGTGTGGGTTCAAAACTGGTGCCGCATACTCCAATATGGGCCTAACGTACACAGTGTACAGGGTCCTGAACGATTCCTTATGTGTGTGTGTGTGTGTGTGTGTGTGTACTCACCTAATTGTGGTTGCAGGGGTCGAGACTCAGTTCCTGGCCCCGTATCTTCACCGATCGCTACTAGGCCCTCTCTCTGATTCCTGAGCCCTTGTCATACCTCGTCTTAAAGCTATGTATGGTTCCTGCCTCCACTACATTACTTGCTAGGCTATTCCACTTCCTGACGACTCTATGACTGAAGAAATACTTCCTAACATCCCTGTGACTCGTCTGAGTCTTCAGCTTCTAATTGTGACCCCTCTCTGGAACATCTTGGCTCTGTCCACCTTACCTATTCCACGCAGTATTTTGTATATCGTTATCATGTCTCCCCTGACCCCCCTGTCCTCCAGGGTTGTCAGTCCGATTTCCCTCAACCTTTCTTCGTAGGACATTGCTCTGAGCTCCGGAACTAGCCGTGTTGCAAACCTTTGTACTTTCTCTAATTTATTGACGTGCTTGATCAGGTGTGGGTTCCAAATTGGTGCTGCATACTCCAGTATGGGCCTGACGTACACAGTGTACAGTGTCTTGAACGATTCCTTACTTAAGGTATCGGAACGCTATTCTCAGGTTTGCCAGGTGCCCATATGCTGCAGCAGTTATCTGGTTGATGTGTGCCTCCGGAGACGTGCTCGGTGTTATGGTCACCCCAAGATCTTTCTCCTTGAGTGAGGTTTGCAGTCTTCGTCCACCTAGCCTATACTCTTTCTGCGGTCTTCTTTGCCCTTCCCCAATTTTCATGACTCTGCATTTGGCAGGGTTGAATTCCAGAAGCCAGTTGTTGGACCATGTGTCCAGCCTGTCCGGGTCTCTTTGTAGTCGTGCCTGATCCTCATCTGATTTAATTCTTCTCATTAACTTCACATCATCTGCAATTAGGGACACTTCAGAGCCGATCCCTTCCATCATGTCATTCACATATATCAAAAATAGCACTGGTCCTAGGACTGACCCCTGTGGGACCCCGCTCGTCACAGGCGCCCGCTGTGTGTGTACTCACCTAGTTGTGGTAGCAGAGGTCGATTCACAGCTCCTGGCCCCGCAGGGGTCGAGTCACAGCTCCTGGCCCCGTCTCTTCGCTGGCCGCTACTAGTAGGTCACTCTTCCTGTTCTATGAGCTTTACCATACATCTTCTTAAAGCTATGTATGGATCCTGCCTGCAATACATCACTTGCTAGGCTATTCCACTTCCCGACAACTCTGTGACCGAAGAAATACTTCCTAACAACCCTGTGATTCATCTGTATCTTCAACTTCCAACTGTAATCCCTTGTTGCTATGTCCCATCAATGGAACATCCTGTCTCTGTCCAACTCGTTGATTCCTCTCAGAATTTTTGTATGTCGTTATCATATAATCCGTGTGTGTGTACATATGTATGTATGTACTCACCTATTTGTGGCTGAAGGGGTCGAGACAGCTCCTGCCCCCGCCTCTTCACTTACCGATACTAGGTCTTCTCTCTCCTGCCCCAGAGCTTTACATCCCCTCGTCTTAAAACAATGATGTTTCCTGCCTCCACTACTACTTGCCAGACTATTCCCTTCCCTGAAACTCTGACCAAAGAAATACTTTCCCCTAAATCTTTTTGATTACCCCAATTTCATTTCCCAATTGTGACCCCATTTTTTTGTGTGTCCCATCTCTGGAGCACCCTGTCTCTGTCCCCCTTGTCAATTCCTCCAGTATTTTATATTTTGTTATCAGTCCCCCTAACCCTCCTTCCCCCAGTGCAATGTTGGTTTATATTTGGGTGTTGTTTTAGTTATGTGTGGTGTGTTGGGTGGTGTGTGTGTGTGTGTGTTGTGGTGTGTGTGTGTGGTGTGGTATCCCTAGTTGGGGTTTCCAGGGGTAAATTCACGCCCTGGCCCTACTCTTCACGGGCCGCTCTTAGCTTTATCATTCCTCTTTTTAAAACTTTTTAATGCTATGCTCCATAAACTTATAAAACCCTTCTTAAAGCATTATGGATCGTGCCTCCATACTCACTTCCCGACTATTCCACTTCCTGACAACTCTCTGACTGAAAAAAGCCTCCAACACCCTGTGATTCATCTGGTTTAAACTTTCAACTTTACCCTTGTTGCTTGTCCCATCTCGGAAAAACTTTCTCTTTTCCTTGGGATTTTGTATGTCTTTATCTTTCCCCTTTTTAACCCCCTCCTGCCCTCCATGTCGTTAGATCGACCCCTTTAACCTCTCCGTTAGCCCCCCTTAGCTTCAAAACTATCTTTTTGCAAACCTTTTGCACTTTCTTTTTTTTCCTTACGGTTTTAGCAAGGTGTGGTTTCCAAACTGGGTTGCATACTCCAATATAACCTAACGAACCCCGGTGTACAAAGTCCTGAACGATTCCTTGAGATGTCGGGAAAGCTGTTCTTAGGTTTCTAGGCGCCCATATCGGAGCAGTTATTTGGTGATATGCCCCAGGAATGTGCCCCGGGGTGTACCACCCAAAATCCTTCTCCTTCGTGAGGATTGTAGTTCTGGCCCCTTAGAAGTACCCTATGCGGGGCTACTTTGTCCTTCCTCAATTTTCTTCCTTTGCACTTGGTGGGGTTGAATCCAGGAGCCAGTTTCTGGACCGGCCCGTACCTGTCCAACCCTTTGCAAATTTTGCCTAGTCCTCGTCCCCATTAAATTCTTCGATCAACTTCACATCATTTGCAAAAAAGGGGAAATTTTGATCCATTCATTTCCTTCAGTCATGTTTCCCCCCCCCCCAAAACCAAAAAACACGGTCCAAAGGGCTCCCCTCGGAACCCCCCCCGTCACAGGCGCCCCCCTGAAAACCTTTCCGACCAGACCCCCCGTTTCTTCCTGACAGGGATTCCTTGACCATTGCAAGCCTCCCCTTTTCCCCCTGCCTGGTCTTCTAGCTTTTGCATTAATCTCTTGTGTGGAACTGTGTCAAACGCCTTCTTACAGCCCAAGAAAATGCAATTTACCATCCCCCCCTCTCTCTCTCTCTTGTCTTACTGCTGTCACCCTGTCATAGAACTCCAGTAGGTTTGTGACAGGATTTCCCGTCCCTGAAATGGCGCTGGCTATCGCTGATAAGCTCATTCCTTTCTAGGTGCTCCACCACTCTTTTCCTGATGAGTCTTCTCCATAACTTTCCATACATGTCAGTGACACTGGTCTAGTTTAAACTGGGACTACATTTGCTGTCTTCCATACCTCAGGTAGCGCCCCTGCTCGCTCCCTCAGGTTTCATGGAGAGATGTTATCCGGCCCCATCGCCTTCGAGGTATCTAGTTCACTTAGCAGCCTCTTCATTTCTTCCTCGGTTGTATTTATTGTGTCCAATGGTGTACCCCACCTCTCTGTCTTTCTGAAGTCCCTTCTGTCTCCTCTGTGAACACTTCTCTGAATCTCACGTTGAGCTCCTCACATACTTCTCGGTCGTTTCTCGTGATCTCTTCTCCTTCCTTCCTTAGCCTTATTACCTGGTCGTTGACTGTTGTTTTCCTCCTGATGTGGCTATATAAGAGTTTCGGGTGAAATTTGGCTTTCACTGCTATGTCATTTTTAAATTGTCGTTCGGTTTCCCTTCTTACCTGTGCATATTCATTTCTGACTCTGCGACTGCTCTCCTTATTCTCCTGGGTCCTTTGCCCTCTATACGTCTTCCATTCTCTATAACACTTGGTTTTGGCCTCTCTACACCTTTGGGTGAAACAAGGGCTCATCCTGGCTTTCTTGTTATTTGTGTTACCCTTGGGTACAAACCTCTCCTCAGCTTTCATGCATATTGTTGTCACATATTCCATCATCTCGTTTACTGAATTCCCTGCCAGTTCTCTGTCCT